TATTGAGAGTGTCAATAAAACACGTGGAAATATTCTCTTGTTGGCTTTAAAATACAAAAAAAAAATATTCTACGTCTATTTATAGTAATAAATATTTTGGCGCATCGTAATTAACTAGCAAAAAATACTTCAAAAAGAATCGAAAACCATAAAAAACATTAAAAAAAACAGTGAATTTTGAAACTGTGCTTATTAATTTTGGTAAGCGTTTTATTTTGTGCCATCAATACATAACACAAAATCCTCTACATACCAAGTTTCTTAAGATATACTAAAATGCAAGAAACTATTATTTAAAAAAATTAAATTTTCTGTAATTATATATGCCCATTATAGAGCAATATTGTTTAAAACTATTATCAAGAGTAACCGATGACTTGAACCACTTCCAAAAGTTAGCTGTATTTTTAAAGAAAATTTTTAGACTTCTCACTCCACTTAGTTTAGACTTCTTACTCCACATGACTATCTGGACATCTAATTAAAATTAGTGTTTATGCGGACACTTACTGTACCTTTTACAGGGAACTATATGGATAGCCACCATAGCTAATCACCGGACTATCTTAGTTGAGTGGTACTGCTCGGAGAAAAAATCCTGGCGAAATTAGCATACTTGTAATGGTAGAGACATTTCTAGTGAAAGAAATCGCAATTCTAAGAATTAGACCAAAATAAATGATATTTAAACCATTCCTATAGTAATTTTACCGTTAGCTGCTGTTATAGTTTACCGGAAATTCCTTTTTTCAAGTTTATAGTTTTTATTATAATACATTCAGAGACAAATACAAATCTCAAAAGTTAATGTAACCAAATAAAGGGTTTTTATGCCTTGTTCTAAATCTTCACGATTAAATTATCCAAATGATCTTCAGAACTATGAATAATTGTACCATTTATTTGGCAATTTTGACCATTTGATGTCTTTGATTCTTTCAAAATAGAAAGGGAATGATCTGTTCACACTTCTACTGTTTATTTAAAATGGCAGTTTATTTATATTGTTGATAAGTGTTAGATGATTGTTAACTATTTCTTATTTTAATATAATTTCTCAATTATGAAAGTGGTCAAAGGGGCAAGAATTAAGGCTTCAAGTTTTTAATTTAGGTGTTTTAAAGATTCTAATTTGGTGACTGTTTTATCCATCTTTTATAGGGTTGTGGGTATTTACGTACATCGTTTTGTTAATACAAAGAACGGTTTAAAAACTTTTTTCAGCTTGGAGAACTAATAGTACAGTTTTATGAAATGCATCAAGAATATACATCGAATGTTATAACGGAATTCGAACCCATTACATATTAGCCTTGCCTTAGAGCGGTTAGTGGAGTAGCATATAGAGCAGAGGTGTCAAACTCAATTTTGCAGAGGGCCATATATTAAATTTAGAATAAGTAGGCGGGCCAGATGCAAATCAAAAAATTTACTGAATTATTATAAAATTTTATTTATCTAATTATATAGTTTATAATATACTGTTGTTAAAAATCATATCAAAGTTATAAAAGATGGTTATTATTTTGAGCTCGAGGATCCAGATACCTGACTTCTCTTGTTTTTGACAAGCTCATTGATGTCCGGTTTCATATTAGTTATAATTATTTTAAGAATTGATTGGGGATGTTCATTCGTAAGTGCTGCGCGATGTTTGTTCTTTTTTATTTTCATGACGGAAAACATCTGCTCCCATAAATAGGTGCTACCAAACATGCCGCATGCTTTTTTAATTCTGGGTAGTTATCCAAACTCTTGAAATATTGTGCATAAAATGTAAGAGCGTTAACCTCTTCAAAATTGTTTTTCAAAATACTGTCCGATTGAAGATTTATCAACTCCATTTGCAAATGAACTGGTGTCTGTGAAGCTTCAAAATTGAATGGATTGTTGAAAATTGGGAATTCCGTTTCATT